GGGTTCTTTGAAATGCTTAATCTAAACCTGTATTTCTTTTTATTATTAATAAGATAATACCACATTGAGGTCCAAAGGATCCTAAATTAAACTTGTGTTTAATTTCATCAAAAATTGAATTCTTTGGTTCTTTGATATGCTGATTCTAACAATGTTTGAGTGTTAAATCATATCTAATTTTAGAGAACTTAGTCATATCTGGTTGTTGTTATTATATTATTGATTATAATTTGAAAAATTGCATCATCTCTTATTTTAGAGAACTATTTATCCAGTTTGAGTTATTTCCCTTTGCACAGAAAATATTATGGATAAAATTAAACTGTGTTTCATTTCAACATAGATTAAATATATATAGGGTTCTTTCCAATGCTGAATCTAAACCTGTATTTAAATATTAGATTTTTGGGCCCAGTTTTCAAGTTGGTCCAAATCAGGGTCCAAAATTAAACTTTGTTTGATTCAACAAAAATTGAATTTATGGGGTTCTTTGAAATGCTGAATCTAACCATGTATTGAGAAATTTTGGATTGTGGGCTCCTTTATCAAATTGGTCCACATTGAGGTCCAAAGGGTCCTAAATTAAACTTTTGTCTGATTTTATCAAAAATTGATTTCTTGGGGTTCTTTGATATGCTGATTCTAATATGTACTTAGATTTTGGATGTTGGACCATAATAGGTAAATTTCCAATTTCAAATATCTCAGTTCTTTGACCACATTCATTTTGTGTCACAAACCTATACTGTGTCAAATATTCAATCACAATCCAAATTCAGAGCTGTGTTAAGCTTAAATGTAGTGTCCATACTTGCTCAACTGTTCAGGGTTCGACCTCTACAGGAAAATCCGGTTTGCTGTCACTCTGACAGCCTCTTGTTGTCAATTGAATTGAAAGTTTACTTGAACAATTTTATTATCAGACTTTTTATATTGAGTATGCTTTATTTCTTAGCTTTATGAAAATATTTATTATCAGCCTAAAACCTCCCAATTTAAGAATAAGTCTCCAAAATTTTACAACATGTGAAATAATTCTTATATCTATGTTTTTCTCCTTACACATCCTTACACATCTTTTATTTTGATTTATTGTCCATTATTTAAACTTCCCCATTGTCCCACAAACAACTTCCTGATTATCCCACATAATTTCGTTCCTTTTTATGGCCCCGCAAACAAAGTTTTTGGGCCAAAAATTTTACCCTTATCTGTCATTCTGTCTTTCCGTCATTCCGCAAAAAAAACAGTTATACAGACTTTATTTCTAAACACCTTCACATATTGAGCTGTGAGTCTACTATGATGAGTTACAGATCGAGTTTAAGTTTGGTTCCACTCCACTGATTTTTTCAGAAATTACGGGCTTTGGACTTTGAAAATTTCATGAAAATAGCAGTTTTACAGAGTTTTTGTCTCGCCTTGACGGAGTCAAAAAGCGAGACATAGGTATGCTGTTTCCGGCGGCGACGTCAACAATGTATTAGTTTGTGATTAGGTCTAGTTTATGGGGAGCCACTAGTGGTAGGTAAATGATATTTGGTATGCATTTGTATTAGCATTGGCACATCTCATTACCATGCAGATCATTTGGCCCTGTCCCCTCAGTCATGGTCTATTGACTTCTAAACTTTGCTTAGTTTACATGTATTAGTTTCTGATTAGGTCAGTTTATGGGGAACCACTAGTGGTAGGTCAATGATATTTGGTATGCAGTTGTATAAGCATTGGCATATCTCATTTCCATGGAGATTATTTGGCCCCGCCCCCTCAGTCATGGTTTATTGACTGAAACTTTTGCTTAGTTTTCATGTATTAGTTTGTGATTAGGTCAGTTTAAGGGGGACTGTAAGTGGTAGGCCAATGTTAATTGGTATGCAGTTGTATAAGCATTAGCACATCTTATTTCCATGGAGAATATTTGGCCCCGCCCCCTCAGTCATGGTCCATTGACTTTGAAACTTTTGCTTAGTTTACATATGTATTAGTTTGTGATTAGGTCCGTTTAAGATGAAACACTAATGTTGAGTCAATGATATTTTGTATGCAAATAATACATTTGCAAGTTTTATTTCCATGGATATTATATAACCCCACCCCCTCATTATGGTTCATTGACTTTGAAACTTTTACATAGTTTACAAGTTAATGTTTGTGTTTAGGTTTGTTTAAAGGGAACGACTTATGAAAAGTCAATGGTATTTGGTACGCAGTTGTATTAGCATTGGCACATCTCATTTCCATGGAGATTGTTTAGCCCTGTACCTTCAGTCATGGTTCATTGACTTTGAATATTTGCATAACTTACATGTTAAAGTATTGCTATTTTAATTTCAACATTTGCATTATCAAAATAACAAATAAGGGAGACATATCTCTGTGATAACAGTTTATTTTTCTAAATGCCTTCACATTTCGAACTGATTTTTAGTATGTGAGTCTACTATGATGAGTTACAGATCAAGTTTACAGTTGGTTCCCCTCCGCTTATTTTTGCGGAAATTACGGGCTTCTGACTTTGAAAATTTCATAAAACAGTTATATGGATTTAATTTCTAAATGCCTTCACATATTTAGCTGTTTTTTAGCTCACCTGGCCCATAGGGCCCAGTGAGCTTTTCTCATCACTTGGCGTCCGTCGTCCAGCATCCTGCGTCCGTCGTCAGTAAACTTTTACAAAAATCTTCTCCTCTGAAACTACTGGGCCAAATTTAAACAAACTTGGCCACAATCATCATTGGGGTATCTAGTTTAAAAAATGTGTCCGGTGACCCGGCCAACCAACCAAGATGGCCACCATGGCTAAAAATAGAACATAGGGGTAAAATGTAGATTTTGGCTTATATCTCTGAAACCAAAGCATTTAGAGCAAATCTGAGATAAAATTGTTTATCAGGTCAAGATCTATCTGCCCTGAAATTTTCAGATGAATCGGACAACCCGTTGTTGGGTTGCTGCCCCTGAATTGGTAATTTTAAGGAAATTTTGCCGTTTTTGGTTATTATCTTGAATGTTATTATAGATAGAGATAAACTGTAAACAGCAATAATGTTCAGCAAAGTAAGATCTACAAATAAGTCAACTTGACCAAAATGGTCAGTTGACCCCTTAAGGAGTTATTGCCCTTTATAGTCAATTTTTAACCATTTTTCGTAAATTTTTGTAATCTTTTACAAAAATCTTCTCCTCTGAAACTACTAAGACAAATTTAACCAATCTTGTCCACAATCATCATTAGGGTATTTTGTTTAAAAAATTTGTCCGATGACCCCGCCTGTGAACCAAGATGGCCGACATGGCTAAAAAATAGTACATAGGGTAAAATGTAGATTTTGGCTTATATCTCTGAAACCAAAGCATTTACAGCAAATCTGACAGGAATAAAGTTGTTCATCAGGTCAAGATCTATCTGCCCTTAAATTTTCAGACCAATCAAGCAACACGTTGTTGGGTTGCTGCCCCTGAATTGGTAATTTTAAGAAAATTTTGCAGCTTTTGGTTATTATTTTGAATATTATTATAGATAGAGATAAACTGTAAACAGCAATAATGTTCAGCAAAGTAAGATCTACAAATAAGTCAAACATGACCAAAATTGTCAATTGACCCCTTAAGGAATTATTGCCCTTTATAGTCAATTTTTTACAATTTTCATAAATTTTGTAAGTTTTTGTAAATTTTTACAAAATATTTTCCACTGTAACTACTGGGCCAAGTTCATTATAGATAGAGATAATTGTAAGCAGCAAGAATGTTCAGTAAAGTAAGATCTACAAACACATCACCATCACCAAAACACAATTTTGTCATGAATCCATCTGTGTCCTTTGTTTAATATGCACATAGACCAAGGTGAGCGACACAGGCTCTCTAGAGCCTCTAGTTAGTTTGTGAGTCGACTATGATGATTTACAGATAGAGTTTATGTTTGGTTGCTCCACTGATTTGTGCGGAAATTACGGGCTTTGGACTTTGAAAATTTCGTGAAAAGAACAGTTATACAGACTTTTTTCTAAACGCCTTCTCCTAAAAATGGCTTCAAGCTTTTTTTGCGAAGGGTGTCATTCGTGTTGTTCCTACACATCTAGTTTTACCTGTAATTATAAAAAGTGGGACAATAAGGAAGACACTGTATAAAAAATGTCACTCTGTGTCAAAACTGAGAATTTCAATTGCATATCGAAACATGTTAGTTTAAATTCCTGGATATGAAATGTAAAAAGATACGAAACTATGTAATAAAATAAATTATTTTTCAGTGAATTGAAGTCCGATATATCAAAAAAAAGTCCTAAATAATTAGAAAAACAGCTTTTTGCTCTTTCATATATATTTGATTTTTGTCGAGCCTGCGACTTTTGTCGCAGAATGCTCGACATAGGGATAGTGATCCGGCGGCGGCGGCGTTAGCTAATTTCTTAAAAGCTTTATATTTTAGAAGGTGGAAGATCTGGATGCTTCATACTTTATATATGGATGCCTCATGTTATGATGTTTCTGTCAGTCACATGTCCAATGTCCTTGACCTCATTTTCATGGTTAAGTGACTACTTGAAAAAAGAGTTAAGATTTTTTGTAATGTTAAATTCTCTCTTATTATAAATAATAGGATAACTGTATTTGGTATGTGCGTACCTTGCAAGGTCCTCATGCCCGTCAGACAGTTTTCACTTGACCTCGACCTCATTTCATGGATCAGTGAACAAGGTTAAGTTTTGGTGGTCAAGTCCATATCTGAGATACTATAAGCAATAGGTCTAGTATATTCGGTGTATGGAAGGACTGTAAGGTGTACATGTCCAACTGGCAGGTGTCATCTGACCTTGACCACATTTTCATGGTTCAGTGGTTATAGTTAAGTTTTTGTGTTTTGGTCTGTTTTTATACGACCGCAAAAAATTTTTTGTGGTCGTATATTGGTATGACGTTGGTGTCGTCGTCGTCGTCGTCGTCGTCGTCGTCCGGCGTCGTCGTCGTCGTCCGAAGACGCATTAGTTTTCGCACTCTAACTTTAGTTTAAGTGAATGGATCTCTATGAAATTTTACCATAAGGTTCAATACAACAAAAGGAAGGTGGGGATTGATTTTGGGGGTTATGGTACCAACAGTTAAGGAATTAGGGGCCAAAAAGGGGCCAAAAATAAGCATTTTCTAGTTTCCAGACAATAACTGTGGAACGGTGTATGGATCTCTCTGAAATTATACTACAAGTTTCCATACCACAAAGGGATGGTTAGGACTTGCTTTGGGGGGGTTATGGCTCAAACCGTTTAAGAATTAGGGGCAAAAAAGGGGGAAAAACAAGGTTGTCCTGGTTAATGGACAAATACTTTAGTACAAAACATAATTTAAAGCAGTGTAAGGGAGATAAATCAAATACATCATTGAAATTATCTCCCTTACACTGCTTTTAAATTATGTATAAAGTAATGGTTAATGAACAATTAAGATAATTTAAAACAGTGTAAGGGAGGTAATCCAAATACAACGTTTTGGTTACTTCCCTTACACTGCTTTAAAATTATGTTTAAAGAAATGCATATTTATAAAGGAAGACCAGTAAAAATATCTGCAAATGTTGCATCTTTTTTTTTTACAAAAAAATCCATATGAAAGATTTGACACTATATTTTAAATTCTATTATAAAATAGATTAAGTTAGCACTATGGTAAATTTAAATGGGTAATTATGGTTTGGGGGAAAAAAAGGGGGGGGGGGTAAAAAGAAATTGTGGGGGGTCAATTTTTTCTCATTTCAGATTTCAGAAATTAAAAAGAATTATTCTTCAAATATTATTTTTTTTTCAAATTTCAAATATTGAAAAATTTCAACTTTGTTTGATTTTAACAAAAATTGAATATATGGGGTTCTTTGATATGCTGAATCTAAACATGTATTTAGATTTTTGATTTTTGGCCCAGTTTTCAAGTTGGTCCAAATTGGGGTCCAAAATTAAACTTTGTTTGATTTCAACAAAAATTGAATATATGGGGTTCTTTGATATGCTGAATCTAACCATGTATTTAGATTTTTTATTTGTGGACCCCGCTATCAGATTGGTTCATATTGAGGTCAAAAGGGTCCAAAATTAAACTTTGTTTGATTTCATCAAAAATTGAATTATTGGGGTTCTTTGATATGCCAAATCTAACCGTGTATTTACATTTTTAATTTTGGGTCCCGTTTTTTAAATTGGTCTACATTAAGGTCCAAAGGGTCAAAAATTAAACTTAGTTTGATTTTAACAAAAATTGAATTCTTGGGGTTCTTTGATATGCTGAATCTAAACATGTGTTTAGATTTTTTATTATGGGCCCAGTTTTCAAGTTGGTCCAAGTTGGGGTCCAAAATTAAACTTTGTTTGATTTCAACAAAAATTGAATATATGGGGTTCTTTGATATGCTGAATCTAAAGATGTATTTAGATTTTAGATTTTTGGCCCAGTTTTCAAGTTGGTCCAAACTGGGGTCCAAAATAAAACTTTGTTTGATTTCAACAAAAATTGAATATATGGGGTTCTTTGATATGCTGAATCTTACCATGTATTTAGATTTTTTATTTGTGGGCCCGCTATCAAATTGGTTCATATTGAGGTCAAAAGGGTCCAAAATTAAACTTTGTTTGATTTCATCAAAAATTGAATTATTGGGGTTTTGATATGCCAAATCTAACCGTGTATTTAGATTTTTAATTTTGGGTCCCGTTTTTTAAATTGGTCTACATTAAGGTCCAAAGGGTCCAAAATTAAACTTAGTTTGATTTTAACAAAAATTGAATTTTTGGGGTTCTTTGATATGCTGAATCTAAACATGTGTTTAGATTTTTGATTATGGGCCCGGTTTTCAAGTTGGTCCAAGTTGGGGTCCAAAATTAAACTTTGTTTGATTTCAACAAAAATTGAATATATGGGGTTCTTTGATATGCTGAATCTAAACATGTATTTAGATTTTAGATTTTTGGCCCAGTTTTCAAGTTGGTCCAAACTGGGGTCCAAAATAAAACTTTGTTTGATTTCAACAAAAATTGAATATATGGGGTTCTTTGATATGCTGAATCTTACCATGTATTTAGATTTTTTATTTGTGGGCCCGCTATCAAATTGGTTCATATTGAGGTCAAAAGGGTCCAAAATTAAACTTTGTTTGATTTCATAAAAAATTGAATTATCGGGGTTCTTTGATATGCCTAATCTATCGTGTATTTAGATTTTTAATTTTGGGTCCCGTGTTTTTAAATTGGTCTACATTAAGGTCCAAAGGGTCCAAAATTAAACTTAGTTTGATTTTAACAAAAATTGAATTTTTGGGGTTCTTTGATATGCTGAATTTAAACATGTGTTTAGATTTTTGATTATGGGCCCAGTTTTCAAGTTGGTCCAAGTTGGGGTCCAAAATTAAACTTTGTTTGATTTCAACAAAAATTGAATATATGGGGTTCTTTGATATGCTGAATCTAAACATGTATTTAGATTTTAGATTTTTGGCCCAGTTTTCAAGTTGGTCCAAATTGGGGTCCAAAATTAAACTTTGTTTGATTTCAACAAAAATTGAATATATGGGGTTCTTTGATATGCTGAATCTAAACATGTATTTAGATTTTAGATTTTTGGCCCAGTTTTCAAGTTGGTCCAAACTGGGGTCCAAAATAAAACTTTGTTTGATTTCAACAAAAATTGAATATATGGGGTTCTTTGATATGCTGAATCTTACCATGTATTTAGATTTTTTATTTGTGGGCCCGCTATCAAATTGGTTCATATTGAGGTCAAAAGGGTCCAAAATTAAACTTTGTTTGATTTCATCAAAAATTGAATTATTGGGGTTTTGATATGCCAAATCTAACCGTGTATTTAGATTTTTAATTTTGGGTCCCGTTTTTTAAATTGGTCTACATTAAGGTCCAAAGGGTCCAAAATTAAACTTAGTTTGATTTTAACAAAAATTGAATTTTTGGGGTTCTTTGATATGCTGAATTTAAACATGTGTTTAGATTTTTGATTATGGGCCCAGTTTTCAAGTTGGTCCAAGTTGGGGTCCAAAATTAAACTTTGTTTGATTTCAACAAAAATTGAATATATGGGGTTCTTTGATATGCTGAATCTAAACATGTATTTAGATTTTAGATTTTTGGCCCAGTTTTCAAGTTGGTCCAAATTGGGGTCCAAAATTAAACTTTGTTTGATTTCAACAAAAATTGAAATATATGGGGTTCTTTGATATGCTGAATCTAAAGATGTATTTAGATTTTAGATTTTTGGCCCAGTTTTCAAGTTGGTCCAAACTGGGGTCCAAAATAAAACTTTGTTTGATTTCAACAAAAATTGAATATATGGGGTTCTTTGATATGCTGAATCTTACCATGTATTTAGATTTTTTATTTGTGGGCCCGCTATCAAATTGGTTCATATTGAGGTCAAAAGGGTCCAAAATTAAACTTTGTTTGATTTCATCAAAAATTGAATTATTGGGGTTTTGATATGCCAAATCTAACCGTGTATTTAGATTTTTAATTTTGGGTCCAGTTTTTTAAATTGGTCTACATTAAGGTCCAAAGGGTCCAAAATTAAACTTAGTTTGATTTTAACAAAAAATTGAATTTTTGGGGTTCTTTGATATGCTGAATCTAAACATGTGTTTAGATTTTTGATTATGGGCCCGGTTTTCAAGTTGGTCCAAGTTGGGGTCCAAAATTAAACTTTGTTTGATTTCAACAAAAATTGAATATATGGGGTTCTTTGATATGCTGAATCTAAACATGTATTTAGATTTTAGATTTTTGGCCCAGTTTTCAAGTTGGTCCAAACTGGGGTCCAAAATAAAACTTTGTTTGATTTCAACAAAAATTGAATATATGGGGTTCTTTGATATGCTGAATCTTACCATGTATTTAGATTTTTTATTTGTGGGCCCGCTATCAAATTGGTTCATATTGAGGTCAAAAGGGTCCAAAATTAAACTTTGTTTGATTTCATAAAAAATTGAATTATCGGGGTTCTTTGATATGCCTAATCTATCGTGTATTTAGATTTTTAATTTTGGGTCCCGTGTTTTTAAATTGGTCTACATTAAGGTCCAAAGGGTCCAAAATTAAACTTAGTTTGATTTTAACAAAAATTGAATTTTTGGGGTTCTTTGATATGCTGAATTTAAACATGTGTTTAGATTTTTGATTATGGGCCCAGTTTTCAAGTTGGTCCAAGTTGGGGTCCAAAATTAAACTTTGTTTGATTTCAACAAAAATTGAATATATGGGGTTCTTTGATATGCTGAATCTAAACATGTATTTAGATTTTAGATTTTTGGCCCAGTTTTCAAGTTGGTCCAAATTGGGGTCCAAAATTAAACTTTGTTTGATTTCAACAAAAATTGAATATATGGGGTTCTTTGATATGCTGAATCTAAACATGTATTTAGATTTTAGATTTTTGGCCCAGTTTTCAAGTTGGTCCAAATTGGGGTCCAAAATTAAACTTTGTTTGATTTCAACAAAAATTGAATATATGGGGTTCTTTGATATGATGAATCTAACCATGTATTTTGATTTTGGACATTGGACCATAATAGGTAAATTAAAAAAATTGAAGTTCTTAGACCACATTCTTTCTGTGTCAGAAACCTATGCTGTGTCAAATATTAAAACACAATCCAAATTCAGAGCTGTATCAAGCTTGAATGTTGTGTCCATACTTGCCCCAACTGTTCAGGGTTCGACCTCTGAGGTCGTATCAAGCTGCGCCCAGCGAAGCATTTTATTCTTATACTGTATGCAATCGGTCTACTATATTTGGTGTATGGAATGATTGTAAGGTGTACATGTCTAGCTGGCAGGTGTCATCTGACCTTGACCTCATTTTCATGGTTCAGTGGTCAAAGTTAAATTTTTGAGTTTTGGTCTTTTTTTCTAATACTATATGCAATAGTTCAACTATATTTGGTGTATGGAAATATTTTATGATCTATATGTCAGTCATGCAGGTTTTATTTCACCTTAACCTCATTTTCAAGGTTCATTGCTCAGTGTTAAGTTTTTATACGACAGCAAAAAAAATTTTGTGGTCGTATATTGGTATGACGTTGGCGTCGTCGTCGTCATCGTCGTCGTCTGGCATCGTCCCGTGTCGTCCGAAGACACATTGGTTTTCGCACTCTAACTTTAGTTTAAGTGAATGGATCTCTATGAAATTTTACCACAAGGTTCAATACCACAAAAGGAAGGTTGGGATTGATTTTGGGGGTTATGGTACCAACAGTAAAGGAATTAGGGGCCAAAAAGGGGCCAAAAATAAGCATTTTTGTAACTTCCAGACATAACTTGTGTGTTAGTGTATGGATCTCTCTGACATTGTACCACAAGGTTCCATATCACAAAAGGAATGCTGGGAGTGATTTTGGGGGTAATTGCCTCAAAATTTTAGGAATTAGGGGCCAAAAAAGGGGCAAAAAACAAGCATATTTCTAGTTTCATGACAATAACTTGTGTGTAAGTGTATGGATCTTTCTGAAATTGTACTACAGGGTTCCATATCATAAAGGGAAAGCTGGAATTGAGTTTGGGGGTAATTGCCGAAACGTTTAGGAATAGGGGGCCAAAAAGGGGCCAAAAATAAGCATTTTTCTAGTTTCCAGACAATAACTTGTGTTCAAGTGTATGGATCTCTCTGATATTGTACTGCAAGGTACCATACCACAAAGGGAAGGCTGGGATTGATGATGGGGGTAATTGCCTCAATATTTTAGGAATTAGGGGCCAAAAAGGGGCAAAAAACAAGCATTTTTCTAGTTTCAGGACAATAACTTGTGTGTAAGTGTATGGATCTTTCTGAAATTGTACTACAAGGTTCCATATCACAAAGAGAAAGCTGGGTTTGAGTTTGGGGGTAATTGCCCTAAACGTTTAGGAATTTGGGGCCAAAAAGGGGCCAAAAAACACATTTTTCTAGTTTCCAGACAATAACTTGTGTTCAAGTGTATGGATCTCTCTGAAATTGTACTGCAAGGTACCATACCACAAAGGGAAGATGAGGATTAAGTTTGGGGGTGATGAATCATAAGGGGGTTCAAAAAATTTGGGGTGGAGATTTTTTTTTTTTCCTTTTTTTTTTCTTTTAAAATTTTCCATTTTAAGTTGGTTATTTCTGATTTATATTTAAAAGCAAATAATAATGATATGGTAGGAGATACACACCAAACAGGATGTGTAAATTATTATTTAATAAGTATTGTGCAATAGCAAGAAATTTTCAATTGCACAGTATTGCACATTAGCAAGAAATCTTCAATTGCACAGTATTGCGCAATAGCAAGAAATCTTCAATTGCACAGTATTGCGCAATAGCAAGAAATATCCAATAGCACAATATTGCGCAATAGCAAGAAATTGTCAATTGTACAGTATTGCGCAATAGCAAGAAATATTTAATTGCACAGTATTGTGCAAAAGAAGATACTTCGTATAAATTGCTTATTTCTTGACCAATTTCAATGGGGTTTTATTCTTGAATTCTTGGGGTTCTTTAATATGCTGAATCTAACCGTGTATTTAGATTTTGGATTTTGGGCCCCGTTTTTAAATTGGTCCACATTGAGGTCCAAAGGGTCCAAAATTAAACTTTGTTTGATTTCATCAAAAATTGAATTATTTGGGTTCTTTGATATGCCGAATCTAACCGTGTATTTAGATTCTTAATTTTTGGTTCCGTTTTCAAATTGGTCTACATTAAGGTCCAAAGGGTCCAAAATAACACTTAGTTTGATTTTAACAAAAATTGAATTCTTAGGGTTCTTTGATATGCTGAATCTAAACACGTATTTAGATTTTTGATTATGGGCCCAGTTTTCAAGTTGGTCCAAATCGGGGTCCAAAATTAAACTTTGTTTGATTTCAACAAAAATTGAATATATGGGGTTCTTTGATATGCTGACTCTAACCATGTATTTAGATTTTTGATTTTTGGGCCCCGTTATCAACTTTGTCCACATTGAGGTCAAATGGGTCCAAAATTAAACTTTGTTTGATTTCATCAAAAATTGAATTCTTGGGGTTCTTTGATATGCTGAATCTAACTTTTTATTTAGATTTTGGATATTAGACCATAATAGGTGAATGTCCAATTTAAAATTTTTAAGTTCTTAGACCACATTCATTCTGTGTCAGAAACCTATGCTGTGTCAAATATTTAATCACAATCCAAATGCAAAGCTGTATCAAGCTTGAATGTTGTGTCCATACTTGCCCCAACTGTTCAGGGTTATGACCTCTGCGGTCGTATCAAGCTGCGCCCTGCGGAGCATTTTATTGTGTTTTGGTCTGTTTTTCTTAAACTATAAGCAATAGGTCAACTATATTTGTTGTACGGAAGAATTGTTAGCTGTACATGCCTGCCTAGCATTGTTCATCTAACCTTGACCTCATTTTCATGGTTCATTGGTCAATGTTTAGTTTACTTGGTTAATGTTAAGTTTATGTGACCGTTGTAATAAAGCTTTATATTTAGGACTATCAACATAATATCAATGATTAGTAAAGAAGGCGAGACATTTCAGCGTGTGCACTCTTGTTTGAAATTAACAATAACAGCTACCAATTTTACTGCATCAGATTTGCATTTCAGCAAATAATGTCTCTTCTATGATACTCCAGGCCAAAATATTTGAAATTTCAAACTTATAGAAACGTTGAAGAGCTGATTAAAAAAAAAGGACCATGTACAGCCAAACCTGTACAAGGAATCAGAGATATATGAGTTAAATGCTTATTTGAAGAAAATTTCATTGTATAATAGATATGTAGCTTAAAACTTAAGTAGTGACCCATTATTATTGTAAAATAGTAATATGATTTGGTTGTGCATTTGTGCCAACTATGGAGATCTAGAGTGGCCATTGTAAAATCCATATTATAGTGTACATGTACATGAAATGATCTATAATTTTAAATTTAGATCCTGTATTACATTTTCATCCATCTCCACTAGCTATATATATACTAATTTGATATGACTATTACATTTTTTATTTAAAGTAGGTTTTTCATTGAATTGGACAAATTGTTAATTAATCTGTATTATGTTTCACTGATATTTAAAATTGCCATTTAATTATGGTTCTCATGACATATATACCATGATACACTTCAGTTTTAAATTTTTTTATACGACCGCAAAAATGAAAAATTTTTTGGTCGTATATTGGTATGACGTTGGCGTCGTCGTCGTCATCGTCTGGCGTCGTCCGAAGACACATTGGTTTTCACACTCTAACTTTAGTTTAAGTGAATGGATCTCCATGAAATTTTACCATAAGGTTCAATACCACGAAAGGAAGGTTGGGATTGATTTTGGGGGTTATGGTACCAACAGTTAAGGAATTAGGGGCCAAAAAGGGGCCAAAAATAAGCATTTTTGTAACTTCCAGACAATAACTTGTGTGTAAGTGTATGGATCTCTCTGACATTGTACCACAAGGTTCCATATCACAAAGGAAAGGCTGTAATTGATTTTGGGGGTAATTGCCTCAAAATTTTAGGAATTAGGGGCAAAAAAAGGGGCAAAAAACAAGCATTTTTCTAGTTTCATGACAATAACTTGTGTGTAAGTGTTTGGATATTTCTGAAATTGTACTACAAGGTTCCATATCACAAAGGGAAAGCTGGAATTGAGTTTGGGGGTAATTGCCCGAAACGTTTAGGAATTGGGGGCCAAAAAGGGGCCAAAAATAAGCATTTTTCTAGTTTCCAGACAATAACTTGTGTTCAAGTGTATGGATCTCTCTGAAATTGTACTGCAAGGTACCATACCACAAAGGGAAGGCTGGGATTGAGTTTGGGGGTGATGAATTATAAGGGGGTTCAAAAAATTTGGGGGGGGATTTTTTTTAACTTTTTTTTTCTTTTTTTCCTTTTTTTTTTCTTTTAAAATGTTCCATTTTAAGTTGGTTATTTCTGATTAATATTTAAAAGCAAATAATAATGATATGGTAGGAGATACACACCAAACAGGATGTGTAAATTATTATATAATAAGTATTGTGCAATAGCAAGAAATTTTCAATTGCACAGTATTGCACAATAGCAAGAAATCTTCAATTGCACAGTATTGCGCAATAGCAAGAAATCTTCGATTGCACAGTATTGCGCAATAGCAAGAAATATCCAATAGCACAATATTGCGCAATAGCAAGAAATTGTCAATTGTACAGTATTGCGCAATAGCAAGAAATATTCAATTGCACAGTATTGTGCAAAAGAAGATACTTCGTATAAATTGCTTATTTCTTGATCAATTTCAATGGGGTTTTATTCTTGAATTCTTGGGGTTCTTTAATATGCTGAATCTAACCGTGTATTAAGTTTTTGGATTTTGGGCCCCGTTTTTAAATTGGTCCACATTGAGGTCCAAAGGGTCCAAAATTTAACTTTGTTTGATTTCATCAAAAATTGAATTATTGGGGTTCTTTGATATGCCGAATCTAACCGTGTATTTAGATTCTTAATTTTTGGTTCTGTTTTCAAATTGGTCTACATTAAGGTCCAAAGGGTCCAAAATTAAACTTAGTTTGATTTTAACAAAAATTGAATTTTTAGGGTTCTTTGATATGCTGAATCTAAACATGTATTTAGATTTTTGATTATGGGCCCAGTTTTCAAGTTGGTCCAAATCGGGGTCCAAAATTAAACTTTGTTTGATTTCAACAAAAATTGAATATATGGGGTTCTTTGATATGCTGAATTTAACCATGTATTTAGATTTTTTGATTTTTGGGCCCCGTTATCAACTTTGTCCACATTGAGGTCAAAAGGGTCCAAAATTAAACTTTGTTTGATTTCATCAAAAATTGAATTCTTGGGGTTCTTTGATATGCTGAATCTAACCATGTATTTAGATTTTGGATATTGGACCATAATAGGTGAATGTCCAATTTAAAATTTTTAAGTTCTTAGACCACATTCATTCTGTGTCAGAAACCTATGCTGTGTCAAATATTTAATCACAATCCAAATTCAGAGCTGTATCAAGCTTGAATGTTGTGTCCATACTTGCCCCAACTGTTCAGGGTTCGACCTCTGCGGTCGTATCAAGCTGCGCCCTGCGGAGCATTTTATTTCATTTTTAATGCTCTTCAACTTTGTATTTAATTTGTCCTTCCAATTGTTTTGATTTATGTGCCACTGATGAGTCTTTTGTAGACAAAATGGCCATCTGTCATTCCTAATTATATACCTGATATCTTTAATAAGTTTTTGCAAAAGGTTCAAAGAACAAAAGAAATACTTTGAAGCTATTGGCCTCCAACAAATAAAACATGTGTTGGAAAATCTAAAGGTAGTATCACCCTGTAATGAATCCGGATTTTGATGCCTTTAAATTGAACACACCTTGTACCACTGAGTTCAGACAGAGGAAAACATAGTTGCCAACTCACATGATATTTCGCGTGTAATACAGGAGTATTTACACTTTTAAGGAACTCCAATATTTATTCTTTGGAAATTTTGCTTCATTATATTCTATGCAGTATAACTCATTAATTACTGCAAGGTTTTTATACGACCGCGAAAATTTTTGCGGTCGTATATTGGTATGACGTTGTCGTCGTCGTCGTCGTCGTCGTCGGAAGACACATTGGTTTTCGCACTCTAACTTTAGTTTAAGTGAATGGATCTCTATGAAATTTTACCATAAGGTTCAATACCACAAATGGAAGGTTGGGATTGATTTTGGGGGTTATGGTACCAACAGTTAAGGAATTAGAGGCCAAAAAGGGGCCAAAAATAAGCATTTTTGTAACTTCCAGACATAACTTGTGTGTTAGTGTATGGATCTCTCTGACATTGTACCACAAGGTTCCATATCACAAAGGGAATGCTGGGATTGATTTTGGGGGTAATTGTCTCAAAATATTAGGAATTAGGGGCCAAAAAAGGGGCAAAAAACAAGCATTTTTCTAGTTTCATGACAATAACTTGTGTGAAAGTGTATGGATCTTTCTGAAATTGAACTACAAGGTTCCATATCACAAAGGGAAAGCTGGAATTGAGTTTGGGGGTAATTGCCCGAAACGTTTTGGAATAAGGGGCCAAAAAGGGGCCAAAAATAAGCATTTTTCTAGTTTCCAGACAATAAATTGTGTTCAAGTGTATGGATCTCTCTGAAATTATACCACAAGGTTCCATATCACACAGGGAATGCTGGGATTGATTTTGGGGGTAATTGCCTCAAAATTTTAGGAATTAGGGGCCAAAAAAGGGTAAAAAAACAAGCATTTTTCTAGTTTCATGACAATAACTTGTGTGTAAGTGTTTGGATATTTCTGAAATTGTACTATAAGGTTCCATATCACAAAGGGAAAGCTGGAATTGAGTTTGGGGGTAATTGCCCGAAACGTTTAGGAATTGGGGGCCAAAAAGGGGCCAAAAATAAGCATTTTTCTAGTTTCCAGATAATAACTTGTGTTCAAGTGTATGGATCTCTCTGAAATTGTACTGCAAGGTACCATACCACACAGGGAAGGCTGGGATTGAGTTTGGGGGTGATGAATCATAAGGGGGTTCAAAAAATTTGGGGGGTGATTTTTTTTTTTTCCTTTTTTTTATCTTTTAAAATTTTCCATTTTAAGTTGGTTATTTCTGATTTATATTTAAAAGCAAATAATAATGATATGGTAGGAGATACACACCAAACAGGATGTGTAAATTATTATATAATAAGTATTGTGCAATAGTAAGAAATTTTCAATTGCACAGTATTGCACAATAGCAAGAAATCTTCAATTGCACAGTATTGCGCAATAGCAAGAAATCTTCAATTGCACAGTAATGCGCAATAGCAAGAAATATCCAATAGCACAATATTGCGCAATAGCAAGAACTTGTCAATTGTGCAGTATTGGGCAATAGCAAGAACTTGTCAATTGTGCAGTATTGCGCAATAGCAAGAAATATTCAATTGCACAGTATTGTGCAAAAGAATATACTTCGTTTCGTATAAATTGCTTATTTCTTGACCAATTTCAATGGGGTTTTATTCTTGAATTCTTGGTGTTCTGTAATATGCTGAATCTAACCGTGTATTAAGTTTTTGGATTTTGGGCCCCGTTTTTAAATTGGTCCACATTGAGGTCCAAAGGGTCCAAAATTAAACTTTGTTTGATTTCATCAAAAATTGAATTATTGGGGTTCTTTGATATACCAAATCTAACCGTGTATTTAGATTCTTAATTTTTGGTTCCGTTTTCAAATTGGTCTACATTAAGGTCCAAAGGGTCCAAAATTAAACTAAGTTTGATTTTAACAAAAATTGAATTCTTAGGGTTCTTTGATATGCTGAATCTAAACATGTATTTAGATTTTTGATTATGGGCCCAGTTTTCAAGTTGGTCCAAATCGGGGTCCAAAATTAAACTGTGTTTGATTTCAACAAAAATTGAATATATGGGGTTTTTTGATATGCTGAATCTAACCATGTATTTAGATTTTTGATTTTTGGGCCCTGTTATCAACTTTGTCCACATTGAGGTCAAAAGGGTCCAAAATTAAACTTTGTTTGATTTCATCAAAAATTGAATTCTTGGGGTTCTTTGATATGCTGAATCTAACCATGTATTTAGATTTTGGATATTGGACCATTATAGGTGAATGTCCAATTTAAAATTTTTTAGTTCTTAGACCACATTCATTCTGTGTCAGAAACCTATGCTGTGTCAAATATTTAATCACAATCCAAATTCAGAGCTGTATCAAGCTTGAATGTTGTGTCCATACTTGCCCCAACTGTTCAGGGTTTGACCTCTGCGGTCGTATCAAGCTGCGCCCTGCGGAGCATTTTATTTAAATATTTGATATTTTTAAAGGCAAATTTAAAAAAAATGCACAATCATGCCACTAATAAAAGCATGCTTACTTTTTTGTCGAGCCTGCGACTTTTGTCGCAGAAAGCTCGACATAGGGATAGTGATCCAGCGGCGGCGGCGTTAGCTAACTTCTTAATAGCTGTATATTTTAGAAGCTAGAAGACCTGGATGCTTCATACTTTGTATATAGATGCCTTATGTTACGAAGTTTTCGTCTGTCATATGTCCATTGTCCTTGACCTCATTTTCATGGTTCAGTGACTACTTGAAAAAAAGTCAACATTTTTTGTAATGTTGATTTCTTTCTTATTATGAGTAATAGGATAACTATATTTAGTATGTGCGTACCTTGCAAGGTCCTCATGCCCGTCAGACAATTTTCATTTGACCTCGACCTCATTTCATGGATCAGTGAACAAGGTTAAATTTTCGTGGTCAAGTCCATATATCAGATACTATAAGCAGTAGGTCTACTATATTTGGTATATGGAATGATTGTAAGGTGTACATTTCCAACTGGTAGGTGTCATCTGACCTTGACCTCATTTTCATTGTTCAGTGGTCAAAGTTAAGTTTTTGAGTTTTGGTCTTTTTTTCTAATACTATATGCAATAGGTCAACTATAAATGGTGTATAAAAAAAATTTTATGATGTACATGTCAGTCTCACAGGTTTTAATTGACCTTGACCTCATTTTCACGGTTCATTTCTCAGTGTTAAGTTTTTGTGTTTTGGTCTGTTTTTCTTCAACTATAAGCAATAGATCAACTATATTTGATGTATGGAAGGACTGTAAGGTGTATATGTCTGTCTGGCAGGTATCATCTGACCTTGACCTCATTTTCATGGTTCATTGGTCAATGTTAAGTTTTCATGGTTAAGTTTGTTTCTTAGATACCATAAGCAATAGGTCAACTATATTTAATGCCTAAATTGATTGTAAGGTGTACATGTCTGTCTGGCATGGTTCATCTGACCTTGACCTCATTTTCATGGTTCATTGGTCAATGTTAAGTTTTCTTGTTTAAGACTGTTTCTTAGAAACAATAAGCAATAGCAATAGCTGTATTTCTTGTTTGGTTTATCTGACCTTGACCTCATTTTCTTGGATCATATTAAGTTTATGTGTTACTTGTAGTAAAGCTTTGTGTTTAGGACTATCAACATAAAATCAATGGTTAGTAAAGAAGGCGAGACATTTCAGCGTGTGCACTCTTGTTTTGATAATTATAAATTTTAAGTTTCCTGTGCCTCATATATTTTAAAGCATATATTTTTGATAATATAAATTTAAACTTAACAAAACAATAAAGGTTTAAGGTAAGCGTGATATCTAGAAAAGAAAAAAAATGCATGTTTTTAAGTGTCACTTTTTTCAAATTGTGTACGCTTCGTTATCTATACATTTTTATACAACCGCAAAAAATTTGCTTTCGTATATTGCTATCACGTCATCGTCTGAAGACATTTGGTTTCCGGACAATAACCTTAGTTTAAGCGTATGGATCTCTATGAAATTTAACCAAAAGGTTCAATACCACAAAAGGAAGGTTGGGATTGTTTTTGGGGGTGATGGTCCCAACCAGTTAGGAATTAGGGACCAAAAAGGGGCCCAAAACAAGCATTTTTCTAGTTTCAGGACAATAACTTGTGTATAAGTATTTTGATTGCTCTGAAATTGTACCACAAGGTTCAATACCACAAGTAGAAGATTGGGATTCATTTTGGGGGTAATTACCCAAACTGTTCAGGAATTAGGGGCCAAAACAAGCATTTTTTAGTGTTCAGACAATAACTTGTGTTTAAGTGTATGGATGTCTCTTAAATTGTACCACATTTTAATTTTTTTTCCTCAAGATTAAAGAAATTATCAATTTTCCAAAAAAAAAAGTTTGGGGTCACAATTTATTTTGCTAATTCTTTGTATATAGTCTGAAAACAGATTTACTTTGTATTGCACAACAGCAAGAAATCTTCAATTGAATATAAATTCAAATCATATAACCAATTTCAAGTTCTTTGACTACATTTATTCTGTGTCAGAAACCTATAATGTGTCAAATATTTAATTACAATCCAAATTCAGACCTGTATCAAGCTTGAATATTGTGTCCAGTTTTTCCCCAACTGTTCAGGGTTGGACCTCTGCGGTTGTATCCAGCTGCGCCCGGTAAAGCACAATTTTTTTTATTTAGATCACTGTACGACATTCAACAATGAGCAAATCCAATACTGTATGGGATGAATAATCCATCGCTAATTAAAAAAAACAGACAAAAAAAAGAGGCTTAATTTATACTACAAAAAGAACATAAACAATCAAAACATCGTAGACAGCAATCAAAGACAACCAATGGATTATAGGCTCTTGGCTTGAATCACATTTTGACTTCTTATGTGTTTTATCCCCCCTTTTCTACATGAAAACCCATAAATGGGCACCAACCTGATGAACCAACAACTCTCAATGAACCTAGCATTGCTATGACCCTTGTTCTCTCTGAGATGGATATCAAAAACCCGGAAGCACGCGTTATAATCGAAAATCTAAAACTGTTATTTGATTTATATGAGTCAGACTTGTTTAGGTCAAGTGAACTATCATTCAAAGTAAAAGTGTGGTTGTATTTCTGGCAAATGCAAAATCAACATTACCAAAGTCAGCGAATGAAAGCATTTAAAAACACAGCAAGTTTGACTTTCAAAACATCTGCCATTTTTGTTGAGCCTGCAACTTCTGTCGCAGAAAGCTTGACATAGGGATAGTGATCCGGCGGCGGCGCTAATTAACTACTTAAAAGCTTTATATTTTAGAAGGTAGAAGACCTGGATGCTTCATACTTGGTATATAGATGCCTTATGTTATGAAGGTTCTGTCTGTCATATGATTATTGTCCTTGAACTCATTTTCATGGTTCATTGACTACTTGAAAAAAAAGTTAAGATTTTTTGTAATGTTAATTTCTCTCTTATTAATGAGTAATAGGATAACTATTTTTAGTATGTGCGTACCTTGCAAGGTCCTCATGCCTGTCAGACAGTTTTCATCTGACCTCGACCTCATTTCATGGATCAGTGAACAAGGTTAAGTTTTCGTGGTAAGTCCATATATCAGATACTATAAGCAATAGGTCTACTATATTTGGTGTATGGAATGATTGTAAGGTGTTCATGTCCAACTGGCAGGTGTCATCTGACCTTGACCTTATTTTCATGGTTCAGTGGTTAAAGTTAAGTTTTTGTGTTTTGGTCTTTTTTTCTAATACTATATGCAATAGGTCAACTATATTTGGTGTATGGAAATATTTTACAATGTACATGTCAGTCTGGCATGTTTTAATTGACCTTGACCTCATTTTTATGGTTCATTGCTCAATGTTAAATTTTTTTGTTTTTTGGTCTGTTTTTCTAATACTATAAGCAATAGGTCAACTATATATGGTGTATGGAATGATAGTAAGGTGTATATGTCTGTCTGGCAATTATCATCTGACCATGACCTCATTTTGCATGGTTCATTGGTCAATCTTAAGTTTTCCTGGTTAAGTTTGTTTCTCAGATACTATTTACAATAGGTCAACTATATTTAAAGCATGTAATGATTGTAAGGTGTACATGTCTGTCTGGCAGGGTTCATCTGACCGTGACCTCAATTTCATGGTTCATCGATCAATGATAAATTTTCCTTGTTAAGTATGTTTCTTAGATACTATGTGCAATAGGTCAACTATATTTAAAGCATATTTGGTGTATGGAATGATTGTAAGGTGTACATGTATTTACAGTTTGGTTTATCTGACCTTGACCTCATTTTCTTTGATCATGTAAATTTATGTGATAGTTGTAGTAAAGCTTTATATTTAGGACTATCAATATAAAATCAATGGTCAGTAAGGAAGGCGAGACATTTCAGCATGTGCACTCTTGTTAAAATTGTCAGCATGATAAGTGTAACCATGCAGTTGAGAATGTAAGTGTTCAAATAGGAAGCTCAGGTTCCTGAACATTTTTTATACTACCCCAAAAACTTTGTGTTCCTATAATGCTATCATGTCGTCGTTGGCCTCGTAGTCCGAAGACACATTTGGTTTCCGGACAATAACTTTAGTTTTAGTGAATGGATCTCTATGAAATTTTACCAGAAGGTTCAATACCACAAAAGGAAGGTTGGGATTGATTTTGGGGGTTATGGTACTAACAGTTTAGGAATTAGGGGCCAAAACAAGCATTTTTGTAGTTTCCATACAATAACTTGTGTGTAAGTGTATGGATCTCTGAAATTGTACCACAAGGCTCCATATCACAAAGGGAATGCTTGGATTGAGTTAGGGGGTGATTGCCCCAAACGATCATGAATTAGGGGCAAAAATGGCCAAAAACAAGCATTTTTCTAGTTTTCAAACAATAACTTGTGTTTAAGTGTATGGATCTCTCTGAAATTGTACTACAATGTTCCATATCACAAAGGGAAGGCTCATACTTTTTTTCTTCAAGATTTAAAAAAAAAAAAATTGGGGGGAATTTTTTTTTTCATAATTTTCATTTTTTTTTCCCAAAAATTTTTCATTTTTTCATTGATTATTTCTGATTTATATATAAAAGGAACAAATACTGATATGGCAGGAGATACACACCAAACAGGGTGTGTAAATTATTATATATAACAGATTTACTAAGTATTGTGCAACAGCACAGTATTGCGCAATAGCAAGAAATCTTCAATTTTTGAAGAAAAAAAAAAATTTGGGGGGGGGGGAGGATTTTTTTTTGGGGGGTTCATACTTTTTTCTTCAAGATTTTCAAAAATATTTTGGGAGGGGGAATTTTTTTTCATAATTTTTTGTTTTTTTTTTCCCAAAAATTTTTCATTCTTACATTGATTATTTCTGATTTATATATAAAAGCAACAAATACTGATATGCCAGGAGATACACACTAAATATGTAAATAGACAATAACTATTTAGTGTCTTTAAATATCAGCTGCATTTGTACCAGGTTAAGAAACAGGTGTAATGCGAGCTTCAGATTGTCTTTATCCTGCAATTAATTATATCCCACGCAACGAGTTGCGGAGGGTATAATGTTTTTGACCCGTCCATCTGTCCGTCGGTCTGTCCGTCCGTCGGTCCGTCCGTCTGTCCGTCTGTCCGTCCGTCAGTCCGTCAGTCCTGTTTCTTGTCATTGCAACTCCTCTCAAACCACACAACAGAATTTTATGAAACCTTTTTAGATAATAAGGACATACTATGTAGTTGTGCATATAGACAGAAAATTACGATTCAATTATTTTTCTAGGAGTTACGCCCCTTTGAACTTATTTACCTTAATGTACTACTGCAACAGTTTGTCATCGCAACTCCTCTCAAACCACACAACAGAATTTCATGAAATCTTTTCAGATAATAAGGACATACTACGTAGATGTGCATATCGACAGGAAATTAAGATTCTATTTTTTTTCCAGGAGTTACGCCCCTTTGAACTTATTTGCCCAATATACTACTGCAACCTTTTGTCATCGCAACTCCTCTCAAACCACACAACAGAATTTCAGGAAACCTTTTCAATTAATAAGGACATACTACGTAGATGTGCATATCGACAGGAAATTACAATTCAATTTTTTTCCAGGAGTTACGCACCTTTGAACTTATTTGCCCAATATACTACTGCATCCTTTTGTCATCGCAACTCCTCTCAAACCACACAACAGAATTTCAGGAAACCTTTTCAGATAATAAGGACATACTACATAGATGTGCATATCGACAGGAAATTACGATTCAATTTTTTTTTCCAGGAGTTACGCACCTTTGAACTTATTTGCCCAATATACTACTGCAACCTTTTGTCATCGCAACTCCTGTCAAACCACACAACAGAATTTCATGAAACCTTTTCAGATAATAAGGACATACCACGTAGATGTGCATATCGACAGGACATTACGATTCAATTTTTTTTTCCAGGAGTTACGCCACTTTGAACTTATTTGCCCAATATACTACTGCAACCTTTTTTCATCGCAACTCCTCTCAAACCACACAACAGAATTTCAAGAAACCTTTTCAGATAATAAGGACATACTATGTAGATATGCATATCAACAGGAAATACGATTCAATTTTTTTCCAGGAGTTACGCCCCTTTGAACTTATTTGCCCAATATACAACTGCAACCTTTTTTCATCGCAACTCCTCTCAAACCACACAACAGAATTTCATGAAACTGTGTAGATAATAAGGACATACTATGTAGATGTGCATATTGACAGGAAATTATGATTCAATTTTTATACGACCGCAAAAATTTTTGCGGTCGTATATTGGTATGACATTGGCGTCGTCGTTGTCGTCCGGCGTCGTCCGAAGACACATTGGTTTTCGCACTCTAACTTTAGTTTAAGTGAATGGATCTCTATGAAATTTTACCATAAGGTTCAATACCACAAAAGGAAGGTAGGGATTGATTTTGGGGGTTATGGTACCAACAGTTAAGGAAAGAGGGGCCAAAAAGGGGCAAAATAAGCATTTTTGTAACTTCCAGACATAACTTGTGTGTTAGTGTATGGATCTCTCTGACATTGTACCACAAGGTTCCATATTACAAAGGGAATGCTGGGATTGATTTTTGGGGTAATTGCCTTAAAATATTAGGAATTAGGGGCCAAAAAAGGGGCAAAAAACAAGCATTTTTCTAGTTTCATGACAATAACTTGTGTGTAAGTGTATGGATCTTTCTGAAATTGTACTACAAGGTTCCATATCACAAAGGGAAAGCTGGAACTGAGTTTGGGGGTAATTGCCCGAAACGTTTAGGAATAAGGGGCCAAAAAGGGGCCAAAAATAAGCATTTTTCTAGTTTCCAGACAATAACTTGTGTTCAAGTGTATGGATCTCTCTGAAATTGTACTGCAAGGTACCATACCACACAGGGAATGCTGGGATTGATTTTGGGGGTAATTGCCTCAAAATTTTAGGAATTAGGGGCCAAAAAAGGGGCAAAATCAAGCATTTTTCTAGTTTCATGACAATAACTTGTGTGTAAGTGTTTGGATATTTCTGAAATTGTACTACAAGGTTCCATATTACAAAGGGAAAGCTGGAATTGAGTTTGGGGGTAATTGCCCGAAATGTTTAGGAATTGGGGGCCAAAAAGGGGCCAAAAAACAAGCATTTTTCTAGTTTCCAGACAATAACTTGTGTTCAAGTGTATGGATCTCTCTGAAATTGTACTGCAAGGTACCATACCACAAAGGGAAGGCTGGGATTGAGTTTGGGGGTGATGAATCATAAGGGGGTTCAAAAAATTTTGGGGGGGGGGGATTTTTTGTTTTTTTCCTTTTTTTTGTTTTTTTTCTTTTTTTTTCTTTTAAAATTTTCCATTTTAAGTTGGTTATTTCTGATTTATATTTAAAAGCAAATAATTATGATATGGTAGGAGACACACACCAAACAGGATGTGTAAATTATTATATAATAAGTATTGTGCAATAGCAAGAAATTTTCAATTGCACAGTATTGCATAATAGCAAAAAATCTTCAATTGCACAGTATTGCGCAATAGCAAGAAATCTTCAATTGCACAGTATTGCGCAATAGCAAGAAATATCCAATAGCACAATATTGTGCAATAGCAAGAAATTGTCAATTGTGCAAAAGAAGATACTTCGTATAAATTGCTTATTTCTTGACCAATTTCAATGGGGTTTTATTCTTGAATTCTTGGTGTTCTTTAATATGCTGAATCTAACCGTGTATTAAGTTTTTGGATTTTGGGCCCCGTTTTAAAATTGGTCCAAAGGGTCCAAAATTAAACTTTGTTTGATTTCATCAAAAATTGAATTATTGGGGTTCTTTGATATGCCGAATCTAACCGTGTATTTAGATTCTTAATTTTTGGTTCCGTTTTCAAATTGGTCTACATTAAGGTCCAAAGGGTCCAAAATTAAACTAAGTTTGATTTTAACAAAAATTGAATTCTTAGGGTTCTTTGATATGCTGAATCTAAACATGTATTTAGATTTTTGATTATGGGCCCAGTTTTCAAGTTGGTCCAAATCGGGGTCCAAAATTAAACTTTTGTTTGATTTCAACAAAAATTGAATATATGGGGTTCTTTGATATGCTGAATCTAACCATGTATTTAGATTTTTGATTTTTGGGCCCTGTTATCAACTTTGTCCACATTGAGGTCAAAAGGGTCCAAAATTAAACTTTGTTTGATCTCATCAAAAATTGAATTCTTGGGGTTCTTTGATATGCTGAATCTAACCATGTATTTAGATTTTGGATATTGGACCATAATAGGTGAATGTCCAATTTAAAATTTTTAAGTTCTTAGACCACATTCATTCTGTGTCAGAAGCCTATGCTGTGTCAAATATTTAATCACAATCCAAATTCAGAGCTGTATCAAGCTTGAATGTTGTGTCCATACTTGCCCCAACTGTTCAGGGTTATGACCTCTGCGGTCGTATCAAGCTGCGCCCTGCGGAGCATTTTATTTTTTCTGATACAATTTTTTTTTCTTACACTTATTTTTTTTCTCCAATGATAATGTGGGGACGTTGGGTATGTGAGCGCGCTCACTAAGGTTCTTTCATTTTGTACATTTTTTTCCCATCCCAATCGTTGAATTTGTTTTTTAAAAGAAATCGACATGACTGATACGCAGACCGCAATGAGGACCCCAAATTGAACTGTGACGTAAACAGTGATTTGACATAACCGTTCGCTCACAACAGAAGCAGGATACCAGGAGGCTATATACGTCTAGTATACGTATATCGCTTCGTGTTATCTGTACACCTGTATTAGTATAGTAGAAAGGTCGATTGCAGGATAAATTGTTATATATAACAGATTAACTAAGTATTGTGCAACAGCACAGTGTTGCGCAATAGCACAGTATTGCACAATAGCAAGAAATCTTCAATTGAAAATAATTATAGAATAACTAATCGAAGAATTCAAATGGAGAAAAATATTCAACGAGTGACTGAACAACACATTAATTCACGAATGCGCTTAGCGCATGAGTTAATTATCAGTGTTGTTCGGTCACGAGTTGAATATTTTTCGATATTTGAATTCTTTGATTATAGTTATTCTTTTTATTACATTGGCAAATGGCTTTTTTTATGAAATTAAAGTAGAAATGTAAGGAACTGTATCTTTTTCTATGCATTCACAATTTGTTTTGATCAGACGTTATCGACGTCTTGACAACGCCTATTGTTGTATGATGTCAGAGGAGTGAAATAACCACGTTTATTTTTACATGTGAAATTATCGGTTTTTATTTCACTGGGAAATCAATGTAATTCATTGCAACCAATGTAATAAATACAAATCTTTTAACCAATTTCAATGGGATTAAATCAAGTCTTTAATTTTTGGGGGTTCTAACCTTGTATTACTATTTTGGATATTGGGCCTCATTTTTTAATTGGTTACATTGAGGATCAAAGGGTCCAAAATTAAACTTTGTTTAGTTTCATCAAAAACTGAATTATTGCGGCTCTTATGATATGCTGAATTTTATTGTGCATTTAGATTTTTTATTTTGGGCCCTGTTTCAAATTAGTCCATATTAAGGTTTGAAGGGTCTAAAATTAATCTTTGTTTGATTTCAACTAAAATTAAATTTTTGGTGTTTTTTCATATGCTGAATCTAACCATGTTGTTAGATTTTGGATATCAGACCATACTAGGTAAATTAAATGTCCCATTTCAAATTTTTAAGATCTTTGATCACATTTATATTGTGTCAGAAACCTATATTATGTCAAAAATTTGATCACAATCCAAATTCAGACAGTATCAAGCTTGAATATTGTGTCCAAACTTGCCCAAACTGTTCCGGGTTCGACCTCTGCGGTTGTATCAGGCTGCGCTCGGCAAAGCATTTTATTTTGAACTTTAGGGTTGATGGGGCTGAATAAAAGGGGAAAGGGGGGGGGGGGGGGGGGGGGGGGGGGTTTGCCTGACATGACTGTGAATTTATACATCCCACACAGCCAAAAGGACACCCCACTTTGATTCGCATTTTACTCGTTCGTAAAAAGACCAAGGAATGACCATTTATTTATAACCAAGTCAACCCTTGGGGTTTGCACATGCATTTTGATTTGCACTAAGAATTTCATGGGTTGTTTACACTTTTGCTCTCAGACATCAAAGAGAAATGAAATTTAATTTAATTTTGTAAACTATGGGTTACCATTTGACTCTTTGCTACCTTCATGACCTTAATTATCAATAAAAAATGAAACGTTTTTAAAGTTGGTATTGAAAAATTTCTGGATCCGCCCCTGTCAATGATAACGGTACCGGGATCAAAATGTTTGCAAGTCAATCATCTACCTAACCTAAGACAGTGGTGTAAAAACACAAAATGAGAATATTTGAAAGAGGCTCACAATAGTGAAAAGTAAGAGATATTGAAGTTTTATTGGTTGTAATATATGATCATATATTTTATAACTTTATTTCATCTGAAATAACAAAGGGAATTTCTAGTCTTCAATAAAAAAAATTGCTGTCAGATATTCGCAGGATAAAATTTCAATTATGGCTTTAAAGACTATTAATTTCATGCATGCTCAATTATTTCGACAAAGTTTACAGATGAAAATTTACAATAAAACACAGAAAAGGAGTTGCTGCTGCCATCACAAATACCTTAAAAAGAAAGGGATTTGTGATTGTTTTTGTCAACGAATTTTACAGAGTTTATTTATAAGAGAGCAACAAACTTGACACATTTGGTGAAACGAGTTACAGTGTGAGATGAACTTATTTAGTTTGATATCGTGTTTATTCTGAGCTCTAGAGAACATTTGAAGGCATTTGGTAATTTTACATGTAATTATTTATTATTGCCTAAAGTATTGCTACGCAAAAGTTGATGTAAGAAAAGATATTGAACATTGTTTACCTCGTAAAACGTATAAAATCGCACCTTGCAGTTTTATCAAAGGTTCATTTAAATTATACAAAATCTGAAACTTGCAACAACTGTATAATTGATTACATAAACTAACATGTTCATGTACACATTGATATATACTCACATAAGTTCCCTAGTGATCAATTCAGGCTCATTGGAGACTATATTGTGTAATGTGTCGACAAAAAAGATATTTTAACATAATGTTATTTATTACATTTAACATATCTGACTTCAATATTTAGTTTGTTGAAACCTGTGCTCTATGTTTTCTAGGACTAAATTTGGTTGAAATCAAGATCATTTTGTCAAATTTTACCAAAATCTCAACTATTAGCCAACTCATAATAAAAAAATCTTGACAAAAATAGTTTTCCTTCTTTTACTTAAGTGTCTTTTCATCAACTTTAGATATTTTTTCACTTGAAACAATGGGCTTAGTATTTGGGCCAAATACTGCCCTTACCAAACTTACTCCTTTACTTGAATGTTCCTTAGGTTACCTAGTTTAAAATTGTATTCAGTGTTTGATCCATCTGTTATGAGAATTGTGCGACTTTTACATTATTTTGACTGAAGTACCACAATGACTTACTGTGACACATAATTTAATTCCTCGTTTATACAGCGTAGCAATCTTGTTGGCATTATAAATCTCAAATTTGGCCCAAAATTTAGTGAAATTTCAAAAGTAACCACACGTGTTCTTAAATTTACCATAACATTACTAAAGTATAATTTTCTCAGAAAATAGAAACAAATATCACATATGACAATTTACCATGGCAACAAACCATGATGAAATAACTACATGCATATTTTGTAACGTTTCTTGATTTCCCTTGTTTTGTATCAAAATTTTTTGATTATATTTTGAATTTGAAACAAAAATAGCAACTTTATATTTGATGGGAATATGTAAATTGCTACAAGAAAGCTCTTCTTAAATTATTTTGTTGAAATTTTCCTATAGCTAATTAATACTTCATCCAAGGAAGTATGGTTGGACAACTGCATAAAATCATCAATTTTCTACTTTTTCATGAAATATTATATATATATATAGTAGTTATGAGACATTTTAAATCTTGTCCATACAATTCATTTATATTTCTTTATTTTATGCATTTTCTAATGAGAAATTTGAAGTAGTTCTCAAGACTTTATTTTGTCAAGGAAAAAGTAGTTCACTATGTAGCAAAGAGAATATACATTGAATATTTTTTTGAGGGAAAAAGTAGTTCACTTTGTAGCAAAAAGAATATTCATTGAAAAAACATAGCTGGTTACTGGTATGCATTAAAGAACATTAAAAAGATACAGTGTAAAAAGATAGTATGTATAAAGTACACATTGAATGATAAGGATCATAGAAATACAGATTTTTGTATAAGAAACTTTAATTCTTCTACATCAGAGTTACTAAGACTAAAGAAAAAGATGGATGAATATAACCGATCCTCTTCAAAACATGATCATGTATTGAGAGAGTTACAGACTAGAGAATCAGATCTAATGGAAGTGTTAAATGCTAAAGATTCTCAGCTAGCAGTCTTGAGAATAAGGTTAGAGGAAGCAGATAAAAACTTGCAAAGTAGCAAAAAAGAAATGGATAGACTTCAAGGTGAAAAATCAAGGTAATTATACCAGTTGTAGGATTAACTTGTATAGACTTTAAACTTCCACTGACAATAATGTGCCTTATATTTTGTAACCGTAATTATGAATTTCTCAATGGTTTTATTTAACAAGTTAGAAAGACAAACATATTATTTTGACATTGGCAGGCAGGGACATTGTTCCATATATGCAGAAAACAAACTATATTGAAAAACATAAAATACATGTAACAATGTAAAGTTACCTGAAGACAATCCTTTGGGTCCCTGGTGTTAAGTTTGTAATTTCCCCCCTCCAACCAATTAACCTGGTTATAAATAGAGAAAAGGGTAAAAAGATAGTAATTGTCTAATATCTTGAAAAACCATAATAAGAATATTAATCTGAATCTAAAATATTCTATTCCCATAAATGATCCTCACAACAATTTCCTATATACTGGTAAAAAAAGTTGTATTATAGTATAGTATGCCTACCAGCAATCTGGACAGTTTGAGTTTAAAAGTATATATACAAAATGTATACACAATATGAATAAAAGTATATTTTTCTGGAGTGGGGAGGGAGGGGGGATGATGTTAATCACACAGAAATCAAGTGAAAACTATAACCAAAAGACAAGTAGTAGGCACCATACAGTCTTCAACAAAAGAGTGGTGTTTATACAATATGACAAACTCTGAATCACCTTGAGTCTATAAAAGCTGTGAGTAAATCAAACAGAATCAAAGTACTGAACATCGGATGACCGCAAGTTCTGGTGGATGGTCACAAGCACTTGTCTCAGAAAAAAAAATCATATCTTTATACCTGAAAGTTAGGTTAAGGTACATAGATATATTTTTTCCTGAGACAAGTTCCTGTGTGGATGATGAATAAGTGACAGAGAATTCAACCTCACCGTAATAATTATTATATTGTAGTGATATAATCATTTGATATCAGTATACTCTGGTTTGTTGTTATATATTATATTAATATTTGTGTAACAGTTATATATATAGCATATCATCTTAATAACTTTACAGGCAAATTTTCATCCATTTATATATCATTCTATTCTACTATTCTAATGATAGTGCAGTGCAAGTGCATGGTGGACACTCTTCTGTAATAATTCGTTTTTCTAATAGATTGGATTTGAGTAGGCATTCATATTTTCCCGCTTTTGCTGCAAAACTTTCTCGAGATATTCTTCCGCATGCATTAACACAAAATTTTCGGTATTCATGATTTGTTATTGATATATATATTTCTCACGACAAAACATTTTCATATCATTTATCTATGTTCTTAAAATTATTTTCATGAATATTTATTGATGAAATTAATATATAACACGCGATAAGGAATGTTATTTTGCACTCGATAATATCTGCGTAAGTATAGAAATACGTACGGTTATCAATCAAAAACGCAAGGAAATTCTGCGGTAACATAACACCGGTACAACCTCTCAAGGTCACATCCGATGTAAAAATCAAAGATAACATCACAGCGTCCACTATATGCAGAAAACAAACTAGGTTATGTGAAGACAATCATTAGGGTATCTGATGTAAAGTTTGTGAACTTTGTTCCTACATTCAGTTTTTACCAAAGACTACTCAAAGGAGATAATTTTACATATTATAGCATTTTTGTCTTGCCTTGACGGAGTAAAAAAGCGAGATATAGGTATGCTGTTTCCGGCGTCAGCGGTGGTGTCAACAATGTATTAGTTTGTGATTAGGTCTAGTTTATGGGGAACCACTAGTGGTAGGTGAATGATATTTGGTATGCAGTTGTATTAGCATTGGCACATCTCATTTGCATGGAGATTATTTGGCACTGCCCCCTCAGTCATGGTATATTGACTTTGAAACTTTTGCTTAGTTTACATGTATTAGTTTGTGATTAGGTCAGTTTATGGGGAACCACTAGTGGTAGGTCAATGATAATTGGTATGCAGTTGTATAAGCATTGGCATATCTCATTTCCATGGAGGTTATTTGGCCCTGCCCCCTCAGTCATGGTCTATTGACTTTGAAACTTTTGCTTAGTTTACATGTATTATTTTGTGATTATGTCAGTTTAAGATGAACCACTAATGTTAATTCAATGATATTTGGTATGCAAATGTATTGGCATTTGCAAATTTCATTTCCATGAAGATTATATAGCCCCATCTCCTAATCATGATTCATTGACTTTGAAACTTTCACATAGTTTACAAGTTAATGTTTGTGTTTAGGTTTGTTTAAAGGGAACAATATATGTCAGTGGTATTTGGTATGCAGTTGTATTATCATTTGCACAGTTCATTTCCATGGAGATTGTCTAACCCTGTACCTTACTGCCATGGTTTGTTGACTTTGAATATTTACATAACTTACATGTTAAAGTAAAAGGCCAAGTCAGCTTTTCTCATCACTTTGCGTCCGTCGTCGTTAACTTTTATAAAAATCTTCTCCTCTAAAACTACTGGACCAAATTTAATCAAACTTGGCCACAATCATCATTGGGGTATTTAGTTTAAAAAATTTGTCCGATGAACCAGCCCACCAACCAAGATGGCCGCCATGGCTAAAAATAGAACATAGGGGTAAAATGTAGATTTTGGCTTATATCTCTGAAACCAAAGCATTTAGAGCAAATCTGACATGGGGTAAAATTGTTCATCAGGTAAAGATCTATTCCCTGAAATTTTCAGACAAATCAGACAACCCATTTTTTGGTTGCTGCCCATGAACTGGTAATTTTAAGAAAATTTTGCAGGTTTTGGTTATTATCTTGAATATTATTATAGATAGAGATAAACTGTAAACAGCAATAATGTACAGCAAAGTAAGATCTACAAATAAGTCAAACATGACCAAAATGGTCAATTGACCCCTTAAGGAGTTATTGCCCTTTATAGTCAATAAAAGTCATGAAAACGCTTTGATGAAATTTTTTCAAATTTAGATATGTTGTTTCCTGTGACTAAATGAAGGTCAGGTTCAATTTTCACAATTTTAGCTTTTCACCTTGAGGAGTTATCGCCCTTTTTAATATCCAAAAGTTGTATTTATAATGTGATTGAGTTATTTCTCTTTGTACAGAAATTATTAATTATATGTATAAAGTTTGATTACACTGTTTTTAAATAATTTTCTCCTGTTATCAGATTATGACAAAGCATATGGTAAATGTCTTATCTCACAATTATAATTGGAGTGACAGATTTTTTTGAAAATTCTCTGTTTCCTAAGTGCTGATTATTATAAGCTATATAGGACTGTATAAATATAGTAAGAAATTTACTGGTCATTTTTAGAAATTTTGTAGATAATTAATTCTCCCAAAACCATATATATTCTTACCCCCCACCCTTCTTCAATTTGAGAATGTGTTTTTATCTTGTAAACGGTCGAGATCCCCACCCCTAAACCATATATATTCTTGTATGGGACAATAAAACAAATCAAATGAAATATAGGGGAAGTCCATGGGGGTCACCCCACCCCCTTCTTTTTGAAAACTTGTAAATGGTCAAGATCCCCAGCCCGAAACCATATATATTCTTGTATGGGACAATAAAACAAATCATATGAAATAAAAGGCGAGACTCCTGGGGTCACCCCCACCTCCTCCTGTTTGAGAACTTGTAAATGGTCGATATCCCCACCCCATAACCATATATATTCTTGTATAGGACAATAAAACAAATCATATGAAATATAGGGGAAGTCCACGGGGTAACCCCCACCCCCCTTCTTTTTGAAAACTTGTAAACGGTCAAGATCCCCACCCCGAAACCATATATATTCTTGTATGGGACAATAAAAGAAATCAAATGAAATATAGGGGAAGTCCACAGGGGTAACCCCACCCCCCTTCCTTTTGAAAACTTGTAAAGGGTCGAGATCCCCACCCCTAAACCATATAATCATTTTATGGTACATAAAAACATTTTTGTCAGGAAATTATTCTTATCAAGAGTAATATGAAACTGTAAATTTGCATGGGGTTGTCTGTAAATTATGTAAGTTTTTGATTACAGGCAGTTGTGGTCAGTATGGTCATCTCACGATCAGGGTCAAGATTAATTACAAGTATGATTGTTTAATGATATCTAACTGACCAATGAGGATTAGGTACATGTGATCTCTTGACATTAGTCATTATTCTCGCAATTTCACTGAATGCTAGCGGACGCCATTTTTGTTTTCTCAAGAAAAGTGAAGATTTTAAATTTCCCACCCACCTCCTCCCTTGATTCTTTAACAGATATATATTTATATGTATTATTTTTTAAATTAAAAATTTTGAATGATTTCAATCTTTGATTGTACAATATTTGTTTGTTTATACATTTTGTAGTTTGTTTATTGAGGGTGGCGGTATTTATTCCCCACCTTTGCAAATTATTGTCATTTATTCAGTTTTGGTTTATTACATAATTGTTCATAACAGTCAGTTGTATTATGTTTTTATGGTTTCTGAATAAATGACCTTTATCGCAAATCTTGTGTTAGATATTTTGCAAATGAACTCAAATCCTTGGAGTATTTCCTTCTCACGTCATCAGTTAAAAAGAAAAATTTGGCTGACAAAAATATTCTTGTATGGGACAATAAAACAAATCAAATGAAATTTAGGGGAAGTCCCCTGGGGTAACACCCACCCCCCTTCTTTTTGAAAACTTGTAAACGGTCAAGATCTCCACCCTGAAACCATATATATTCTTGTATGGGACAATAAAACAAATCAAATGAAATAAAAGGTGAGTCCCCTGGGGTCACCCCCACCCCCCTCCTGTTTAAGAACTTGTAAACGGTCGAGATCCCCACCCCTAAACCATATATATTCTTTTATGAGACAAAAAACAAATCACATGAAATAAAGGATGAGTCCCCTGGGGATCACACACTCACCCACCCCCCCTTATGAGAACTTGTAAACGATCGCGATCCCCACCCCTAAACCATATATATTCCTGTTCATCATTTCAAGAAGATTTGAATGACATACAGGGTCAATCCATAGGCGTCACTTATGCATATCACAAACCAAATTGTATTGGACTTTGCCCAATGTCAGGTGACCATGGGAATGGCGAATTATGGGAGCTTTGTTTGGGAGACTTCGTAACAGCATCCTGTTACAATTATTTCTTGTTACTGATAAGTTTTGTAGATTTTGAAAAGACATTGTATTAATGATAAATAAAATTTTGGATTTTTTTCTTCTTTTCTTTGGTAAATTGTTTGAAGAATTTTGTGGCAAGTTTGTTTGTTATTCTGTAAAAATTAATTTTCTGAATGCTATATATTTTTATACGACCGCAAAAATTAAAAATTTTTTGGTCGTATATTGGTATGACGTTGGCGTCGTCGTCGTCGTCGTCGTCGTCGTCGTCGTCGTCCGGCGTCGTCCGGCGTCGTCCGAAGACACATTGGTTTTCGCACTCTAACTTTAGTTTAAGTGAATGGATCTCCATGAAATTTCACCATAAGGTTCAATACCACAAAAGGAAGGTTGGGATTGATTTTGGGGGTTATGGTACCAACAGTTAAGGAATTAGGGGCCAAAAAGGGGCCAAAAATAAGCATTTTTGTAACTTTCAGACAATAACTTGTGTGTAAGTGTATGGATCTCTCTGACATTGTACCACAAGGTTCCATATCACAAAGGGAAGGCTGTAATTAATTTGGGGGGTAATTGCCTCAAAATTTTAGGAATTAGGGGCCAAAAAAGGGGCAAAAAACAAGCATTTTTCTAGTTTCATGACAATAACTTGTGTGTAAGTGTTTGGATATTTCTGAAATTGTACTACAAGGTTCCATATCACAAAGGGAAAGCTGGAATTGAGTTTGGGGGTAATTGCCCAAAACGTTTAGGAATTGGGGGCCAAAAAGGGGCCAAAAATAAGCATTTTTCTAGTTTCCAGACAATAACTTGTGTTCAAGTGTATGGATCTCTCTGAAATTGTACTGCAAGGTACCATACCACAAAGGGAAGGCTGGGATTGAGTTTGGGGGTGATGAATCATAAGGGGGTTCAAAAAATTTGGGGGGGGATTTTTTTTTTTTTTTTTTTTCTTTTTTTCCTTTTTTTTTTCTTTTAAAATTTTCCATTTTAAGTTGGTTATTTCTGATTTATATTTAAAAGCAAATAATAATGATATGGTAGGAGATACACACCAAACAGGATGTGTAAATTATTATATAATAAGTATTGTGCAATAGCAAGAAATTTTCAATTGCACAGTATTGCACAATAGCAAGAAATCTTCAATTGCACAGTATTGCGCAATAGCAAGAAATCTTCAATTTAACAGTATTGCGCAATAGCAAGAAATATCCAATAGCACAATATTGCGCAATAGCAAGAAATTGTCAATTGTACAGTATTGCGCAATAGCAAGAAATATTCAATTGCACAGTATTGTGCAAAAGAAGATACTTCGTATAAATTGCTTATTTCTTGATCAATTTCAATGGGGTTTTATTCTTGAATTCTTGGGGTTCATTAATATGCTGAATCTAACCGTGTATTAAGTTTTTGGATTTTGGGCCCCGTTTTTAAATTGGTCCACATTGAGGTCCAAAGGGTCCAAAATTAAACTTTGTTTGATTTCATCAAAAATTGAATTATTGGGGTTCTTTGATATGCCGAATCTAACCGTGTATTTAGATTTTTAATTTTGGGTCCCGTTTTTTAAATTTGTCTACATTAAGGTCCAAAGGGTCCAAAATTAAACTTAGTTTGATTTTAACAAAAATTGAATTCTTAGGGTTCTTTGATATGCTAAATCTAAACATGTGTTTAGATTTTTGATTATGGGCCCAGTTTTCAAGTTGGTCCAAGTTGGGGTCCAAAATTAAACTTTGTTTGATTTCAACAAAAATTGAATATATGGGGTTCTTTGATATGCTGAATCTAAACATGTATTTAGATTTTAGATTTTTGGCCCAGTTTTCAAGTTGGTCCAAATTGGGGTCCAAAATTAAACTTTGTTTGATTTCAACAAAAATTGAATATATGGGGTTCTTTGATATGCTGAATCTTACCATGTATTTAGATTTTTTATTTGTGGGCCCGCTATCAAATTGGTTCATATTGAGGTCAAAAGGGTCCAAAATTAAACTTTGTTTGATTTCATCAAAAATTGAATTATTGGGGTTCTTTGATATGCCAAATCTAACCGTATATTTAGATTTTTAATTTTGGGTCCTGTTTTTTAAATTGGTCTACATTAAGGTCCAAAGGGTCCAAAATTAAACTTAGTTTGATTTTCACAAAAATTGAATTTTTGGGGTTCTTTGATATGCTGAATCTAAACATGTGTTTAGATTTTTGATTATGGGACCAGTTTTCAAGTTGGTCCAAGTTGGGGTCCAAAATTAAACTTTGTTTGATTTCAACAAAAATTGAATATATGGGGTTCTTTGATATGCTGAATCTAAACATGTATTTAGATTTTAGATTTTTGGCCCAGTTTTCAAGTTGGTCCAAATTGGGGTCCAAAATTAAACTTTGTTTGATTTCAAAAAAAATTGAATATATGGGGTTCTTTGATATGCTGAATCTTACCATGTATTTAGATTTTTTATTTGTGGGCCCGCTATCAAATTGGTTCATATGGAGGTCAAAAGGGTCCAAAATTAAACTTTGTTTGATTTCATCAAAAATTGAATTATTGGGGTTCTTTGATATGCCAAATCTAACTGTTTTTAGATTTTTAATTTTGGGTCCCGTTTTTTAAATTTGTCTACATTAAGGTCCAAAGGGTCCAAAATTAAACTTAGTTTGATTTTAACAAAAATTGAATTCTTCGGGTACTTTGATATGCTGAATCTAAACATGTGTTTAGATTTTTGATTATGGGACCAGTTTTCAAGTTTGTCCAAGTTGGGGTCCAAAATTAAACTTTGTTTGATTTCAACAAAAATTGAATATATGGGGTTCTTTGATATGCTGAATCTAACCATGTATTTTGATTTTGGACATTGGACCATAATAGGTAAATTAAAAAAATTGAAGTTCTTAGACCACATTCTTTCTGTGTCAGAAACCTATGCTGTGTCAAATATTTAATTACAATCCAAATTCAGAGCTGTATCAAGCTTGAATGTTGTGTCCATACTTGCCCCAACTGTTCAGGGTTCGACCTCTGCGGTCGTATCAAGCTGCGCCCAGCGAAGCATTTTATTTTTTTATGAAGTGAACTACTTTAAAAACTAAGCTTGTATTGTCTATTAATAAACTTATGTTTAGATTTCTGATTTTGGGCCCAGTTTTCAAGTTGGTCCAAATCAGGGTCCAAAATTAAACTGTGTTTGATTTCAACATAAAATGAATATATATAGGGTTCTTTGAAATGCTTAATCTAAACCTGTATTTCTTTTCATTATTAATAAGATAATACCACATTGAGGTCCAAAGAGTCCTAAATTAAACTTTTGTTTAATTTCATCACAAATTGAATTCTTTGGTTCTTTGATATGCTGATTCTAACAATGTTTGAGTGTTAAATTATATCTAATTTTAGAGAACTTAGTCATATCTTGTTGTTGTTATTATATTATTGATTATAATTTGAAAAATTGCATCATATCTTATTTTAGAGAACTATTTATCCAGTTTGAGTTATTTCCCTTTGCACAGAAAATATTATGGATAAAATTAAACTGTGTTTCATTTCAACATAAATTAAATATATATAGGATTCTTTCCAATGCTGAATCTAAACCTGTATTTAAATATTAGATTTTTGGGCCCAGTTTTCAAGTTGGTCCAAATCAGGGTCCAAAATTAAACTTTGTTTGATTCAACAAAAATTGAATTTATGGGGTTCTTTGAAATGCTGAATCTAACCATGTATTGAGAGATTTTGGATTGTGGGCTCCTTTATCAAATTGGTCCACATTGAGGTCCAAAGGGTCTTAAATTAAACTTTTGTCTGATTTCATCAAAAATTGAATTCTTGGGGTTCTTTGATATGCTGATTCTAATATGTTCTTTGATTTTGGATATTGGACCATAATAGGTAAATGTAAAATTTCAAATATTTCAGTTCTTTGACCACATTCATTTTGATTTTGATTTGATTTTTGATTTTTGGTGTTTAAACGCCACTTTTAAGCACCGCTTTTGGGCTATTTCGTGGTGGCCAGTTTTTATTGGTGGAGGAAGCCGGAAAAAAACCACCGACCTCACATTCATTTTGTGTCACAAACCTATGCTGTGTCAAATATTCAATCACAATCCAAATTCAGAGCTGTTTTAAGCTTAAATGTAGTGTCCATACTTGCTCATAACTGTTCAGGGTTCGACCTCTGCAGGAAAATCCAGTTTGCTGTCACTCTGACAGCCTCTTGTTGGTTATTATCTTGAATATTATTATAGATAGAGATAAACTGTAAACAGCAATAATGTTCAGCAAAGTTAGATCTACAAATTAGTCAACATGGCCAAAATGGTCAATTGACCCCTTAAGGAGTTATTGCCCTTGATAGTCAATTTTTAACATTTTTTTTAAAATTTTTGTGATCTTTTACAAAAATCTTCTCCTCTAAAACTACTTAGATAAATTTAACCAAACGTGTCCACAATCATCATTAGGGTATCTAGTTTAAAAAATGTGTCCGATGACCCCACCTACCAACCAACATGGCCGACATGGCTAAAAATAGAACAAAGAGGTAAAATGCAAGTTTTGTCTATTATATTTTGAACCGTTTTAAATATAGAAAATCTGAAAGGAGCAAAAATGTTCAGAATAATGAGCTCTACCAATTGTCCATTTACGTCAAAACTGTTAGACAAATTCTTACAGGAGTTATTGCCCATAAATGACAAATTTTACTATTTTTTTAATTTTTGCCTATTATCATGAAAACTATGATATTTAGAGAGAAACATTTTTTTTCTGTTATGCCTTATATTATTTATATTATAATAGATAAATAAACACTTTAAATCACAAAAATGATCAGCAAGGCAAGATCTATTAAAAAGTCAAATTTTGCGGATATAGTTAGTAGACTGTCACTCTTCATAGGAGTGATTGCCCTTAAATGAGGATTTTTTTTACCCTCTTTTGTGTTTTGGGCAAAAGCTAAAGAAGATAGAGAGAAACTAAACAGACTAAAAGATCAGTAATACAAGATCAACAAAATAGAGATTTTTGTCATGAAGTCTTATTCTTGTCTACAATGTTGGAGAGTGTCCTTTGTTTGATATGCACATAGACCAAGGTGAGCGACACAGGCTCTTTAGAGCCTCTAGTTTAATTTCAACATTTGCATTATCAAAATAACAAATAGGCGAGACATATCTCTGTGTTAACAGTTATTCCTACTATTTTGAAAACTATAAAAGACAGAGACTGTAAACAGCAATATGAGTTCTACAAAAACAAAATGAAAAACAATATTTCACTGTATAATAACATCACCATTGTCCACTACATTCCAGAAACAAACTATATTAAAAAAACAAAAGAAATTTACATATTTCACATATTGTACCATAACATAAGTTTCCTCAGATTGATTTACTGAAAACCTTACAGAATTGTTGGAATTGGTGAAGATAACAAACTTTTATTAGTCCCCTACCGACGAAGTCGAAAGGGACTTTAGGTTTGCACTCCGTCCGTCTGTCTGTCTGTCCATCTGTCAGTCCGGCAAATCAGTTTTCCAGACTTTTTTTCTTCATGCTTGAAGATATTGATTTGATATATGGTTTATTGATTTCTCATGACAAGTTACAGGTCCAGTTCAATTTTCAGGATTTTAGCTTTTCTCTTTGTTCAGTTAAAGCCCTTTCCCTAGAAATAAATTTTTGATGAAATACTTATTAATTAGTAGATTTCTGTTCAAAGGGAAATAACTAATTTTTTAAAAGACAAAATGACATTTTGGATTTTTTTCCTTTTCTTTGGTAAATTGTTTAAAGAATTTAGTGGTAGGTTTGTTTGTCATTCTTGAAGATATTGATTTGATAATTAGTATATAGTTTTATCATGACAAGTTACAGATCAAGTTGGAATTTTGTTCCAGTCTGATAATTTTGTGCAGAGTTATGGTCTTTGGACATAGAAAAAATTCACTTAAATAATCAGTTTTCAACAGTTTTTTTCGTCATGCTTGAAGATTTTGACTTGATATTTTTATGTAGTTTACACCATGACAAGTTCTAGATCAAGTTAGAATTTCATTCCATTACAATGAATTTGTAACCAGTAGGGGACTATGTATTGCCATGCAATACTCACAGAATGCTTGTTTAAAAAAAGATTCTGATATTTTATTCCAGAGTTAAAGAACTTTGACATTCAGATAATATTATTCATAGGTCAAATTCCTACAAACTTTACACTGTTGTAAGAATTGGTGAATGTAGATTCCCTTTTGATTTTTGAACAAATTTCTTGTTTGTCATTCCAGAGTAATAAAACTTTTAGCAGTTATATTTGAAACAATATTTATAAGCCTAAGAGTATCCTCAGCCAAGTGTTTCAACAGAGCCATTATATTTGCTTCTGATTAAATGCCTTCTAAATATCCCATTTTATTCTTGCAACAGTTTCATTAGACACAATAAAGGCACATCATGTGCATTGTTGCATCTGTCTTTTTTTATTTGTGTGAAAGAAATCCTTAGGGTATATGATCTAAAGTTTGTGATTTTCTTATCTCTGTTCCATTAATATTTCTACAAAAATCATGAAAACTATTAAAGAAGATTGTCAGTGGAATATTTCATTTGAATTTAGTCTTTGATTTATCTAGATAGACTTTACCCTGCAAACATAAAACCCCTTTTAAAAGAGGCTTTACGATGGAAACTCTATACAAAAATTTTATTCGTTCCGTATTGTTATTTTCCCTTTTGGGACAATGATGTTCCTTTTGCCTCCTCTTATGGTCCACATTAAGGTCCAAAGTATCCAAAATTAAACTTAGTTTGATTTTAACAAAAATTGAATTCTTGCAGTTCTTTCTTATGCTGATTATAAGCATATATCTAGATTTTTAACCAGATTTTCGAAGTAAAAATCGGTTATTGATTTGGCAATGAGGGCTGCGAGCGGGCGGCTGCCAAACAGTGACTGTTCATTTACATGAAAACGCTTTGAAGACATTTTTTCAAATTTAGATATGTTGTTTCCTGTGACTAAGTGAAGGTCGTTCAATTTTCACGATTTTAACTTTTCTCGTTAGTCAGTTATAGCCCTTCTCCAAGAATTCAAATTTTGATGAATTAATCCATTTCTGTACGAAGGGAAATAAGTCATTTTTTAAAGATTTTTAAAAGACATTGTATTAATGATAAATGACATTTTGGATTTTTATTTTCTTTTCTTTGGTAAATTGTTTGAATAATTTTGTGGTAGGTTTGTTTGTTATTCTGTATAAAATAATTGTATGAGTGTGCGTTAATTTGAATTTTTACTTGATATCTGTTCCAGATTTGCAAATTCATTAGATAATAATCTTTTTGTATTAAAGGATATATTTCATTGCATTGTGTAGAAAAAGTTGTAGAATTTCATAGATAAGTTGCAGATCTTTATTAGTTTGTTACAAATGAAAGAAAAAATATTGGGAACTATTAACTATATATATAAAATTTGATTACACTAAGTGTTTTTAAATGATTTTCACCTTTTATCAAGATAACACAACATCTGGTAATTGTCAATCACCCAATTATAATTGTAGTGACAGATTTATTTGAAAACTATTAATTATATTAGATTATAATTTGAAAATGATTATAACATCATGTCTAATTACATCATATCTAATTTTTGAGAACTATAGTTAAATCATATCTAATTTTAGATTTACATTATTGGTTCATGGAAATAAAGTTATTTCCCTTTGAATAGAAATGGTTTAACTAAGAAGTATTTCATCAAAAAATGAATTCTTGGGGTTCCCTTGATATGCTGATTCTAGCAATGTACATAGATTTTGGATATTGGACCATAATAGGTAAATGTCCAATTTTAAATTTTTCAGTTCTGTGACCACATTTATTTTGTGTCACAAACCTATGCTGTATCAAATATTTAATCACAATCCAAATTCAGAGCTGTTTTAAGTTTAAATGTTGTGTCCATACTTGCTCAACTGTTCAGGGTTCAACCTCTGCAGGAAAATCCGGTTTACTGTCTCTCTGACAGCCTCTTGTTGATTTTTGGGCCCAGTTTTCAAGTGGTCCAAATTG